CTCAAATTTCAAGATGTTTAGAATATTTTGAGACCAGGCCGGAATAAAACAAACAAATAAAAAGTATGAATAATTTGAGATGAACCCATGCGTCTCCGTATGCACCGGCGAAACAGCTTATCAGTTCGCATAACGAATTTATTTGATAACGTTTGAAACGATGATAACGTTTTTTAGATGTTAGCGTAAAAGAGGCAAAAGCAAAAGTCGGAAAGCTGATTTACGATAGGGTTCCTTCAGGGATGGTCCGCCACGGGACAAATGCGTGACGCTGACCAGGCGCTAAGCCCATTGATGGCTGCTGGCCCGAAGTTACCTAGCTATTTTTTCACGGTCACTAAAATTCATAGATATCCATAAAAACTAACCAACAAGAGAATAGATGTTAACCAAATAAGTAAATATTAGTAATAAAATTGTCAATTTTATAAAATAAGCTCATCTTTTTGATCCAATATTTTAAAAGCGACACTTACTCTGTGATTGACGAGTATATTCGTCATTGCTCGATTTTCGCGACACATATGGATGCGCATTCTCAAAAGGGAATGCCACAGCTAACTGGTTAAGTAGGGTTGTTTTTATTTTATCTTGAGAGGGTTACGCGATGGGTGGTAATGAAGTTTGGGGATCCAATCTCGTAGGAGATACTAATGCATTTGTGGGGAAATTTGATTTTCCTTAAATTATGACACGAGGTTGGATAGCATAATGAATATAATTAGTAGATATTAGGTAAATATAAGGATAGTTCAAGGAATAATTAAATTTAATGTCCAAGGATCATACGCATGTATATTGTTCTTTTTGTCGGACATAGAAAATAATTATCCTTTCTTAGACTTGATGAATTCATTCTTCTATATGTTAAGAAAGTTTCTGACGAATTTATGTTAAGCGATCCGAGAGATTAAATATTTTGATTAATTAATTTTTGGGGATTTTTTGGGATATATATATATATCTTATATCTAAATTTCAAATATATATATGAGTCGTTTCTCTTTATCAATCTAATTACTAAAAATTATGAATTTTATTAAGAAATTGGTTTTTAAGTGAGAGTCATTAGCGCTTAGAATAAGTTTAGAATTAGTTCAGAATAAGTCATTTTTATATTTTCCACAGTTATTCTGTTACCTATCCAACATTCCTATATATGTGTAATATCAACTGAAGAATTATTTTTGATGCATTTGGGTGCATCTGCCCTACTATAGGGTGTAACGATGCACGAATCGTCGTTCTTTCGCAAATGGGCGATGATCGGCTTACGCGTTGAAAATTCAATATTCCCCCGTTTAAGTAGTAATTAATGCAAGTCTATAGGACGGCGCTGTGCACGGCATAACGTGTTAATGCCAACAAGTGAGCACCTACGCTGGTAACACCTGTAAAGGCCGTTAAATAATTTCATTCCGCTGTCGAAGCTGCATGCAATTTCAATTCGTCCTGAAACCGAGTGCTAATACGATGAACCGTGTGTGCTTTTCGCTTCTATTATTCCACGGGGAACAGTACGAAGAAATAAATAATACGCGACTTAAATAAATCATACTTCGCATTCCTGTTATTTTTTTTTCGGTTCTTTGCCCACGAACGCGAGTTCGAATCAACGACTGCTATACCCAGTGGATGATGATTGAAATTAAATTACCGGATCGTTTTGTATTAATGAATATTAATTCTGGTCCGTGTATTATAATGTGACTATTCCATTAATTAAACTAAATTCAGTTCGCGCAATATTATCGCGATTTGACTGATGATATTTCATTCAGGGTACGATGTAACAAAGACATTGGTTGTTAATTAGAAAATTATTAATTGCAAAGTTATTAATTATGAAAACAAAGCGTGCCAGTCGATATGGAGGAAATCATACAGGGAGTGTAATGAGAATAATAGGAAATTATTGTCGAACACTTGTAATGATTCATTTAGTATAAAGATTAGTATATGGATTAATTATGTTGGTATGGAGAAGAGAAATTAAAAGAAAATGCGTCTGGGTGGTCTTGAAACAAACGAGATTCGTACAAAATCAAATTTTCGACGCGATTTCCATCAATTTTCAAACGATTCACGAATTTTTATTCGGATTTAATAATAATTTCGTTAGTTTATAACAAAAGTTAGGAAGCATAAATTCTCTTTTAAAATTTCCATTTATGCCATCAACTCGAATTAAAAAATATAAAAATCTTGAACTTTTCACTTCAGCTGAATAATATATTAATTACGAACGATATTTCAATGATCTTAATGAACCAGGGGAACTAAAGCACTAAACTGAAGTATAGGTCAAATATATTAGCCAGTCAGGGCCAAGCGCTTTTGTTATATGTAGTATATATAGTTACTATTCTTATACAGACGATATAGATTGGGGAAAAAATATGAAAAGGTTTCGTTGTCGAAGAAGGACAATAAACGATTCGTCGTTTGCTCTAAATTTTATTAGTATTGCTCTAAAAAGGCAGTAAAAAATAATTTATAAATGAATCATTAAAATTTCCTAATGAAAACTAGCATGTTATCTTTCTAAGTACCCCTACAACTCAAAAATTCCTTTAAATTAATTTTCTAAATCTATTTCTCATCGACAATGGATGATGATGTCGCTGTATGTACCAAATTATCAAGCATACTGCATCACTGAATATCAAATTATTATAATCCACTGCTGCAGTCTATTCAGATTATTTTATTATGATGTCAATACATCGTCAATGATCTAAATCAGGTGATTTCAAGATCACCACAGATGCGATCAATCCCTGGATTCTTGCCTCAGTACTGTACAGACCTTTCCTTGAAAACTTTCTTGACATCTGAAGCAAAACTCGTTGGAAGAATTCACCGAGTCCACATTTTAACAGCCATAATCGTAAACTAGAAGCGCGAAGCAAACGAGTTAATCGCATCCGTGGAAAATTGTTGCCGGTAACAGACTATTCACATGGAATCGCGAGGGTGTTCCGTCTAGATAGCCACCTGTTGTGGCGACATGCGCCGAACCGTGCAACGACTATGCTGCGACCTGCCTATACGTCCTCGTCAAACAAAACCGTTTGCACGGTGTTAATTAACCATTTTGCCATTGGCCACTATCATCTGGATCTCGTACGTCGGCAGAGCAGATTACCCTTGAAAAACTCCGCAGTCTTCGTGGCCAGCAGCCCGACGGAATTATTTGTCTTCGTAATTGATCGATCCGGGAAACCAGCGCGAACGTTCCAATTTACGTGTTTCCTGGATCGTTACCAGTTCCTCTGTACCCCAGACCCCTGTTTCGTTTGCGTAAAATACGATCACGTGCCGAGGTAATAGAGACGACCAGGTTGGCCGCTGCAGCTATGATTAATCGATTTTAGCTTCCCGTTAACGACCACGGAACGCGGCCAAGTGCTGGCTTCGACCCTTTCAGGATGTGCAACATACGCCTATATGTTCGCTCCTTGCGTCGGAAATAAGAAGAGGGGCCAAGATTCGACCCCTTTGGATGTGATTGCTTTACGATTGTACATCTTCGAATAAATTATAGGCATTGTAGGTCTTTTTCTCAAATTTTTCTGACTTCTTTACGGTATACACTTTGGCGCGAATATAAAAATCTATGATAACCATGCGAATATTATTTATAATGGATTTTATAAACATCGAGAATGAAACAATGGTCATCGAGACAGAAAAATTCGTAACTAATTAATTATCAACAGATGATTATTTATTTTCAAGTAATATTTGCTTTTAGCATCTTCGTTGCTAATTTAATCTTCGTTATCTACAATTCTGAACTCTGACGAATAATTTCCAAATAGCGTAAGTACATATTTCTACGTTGTACATTTTTACGCGTGTTATTAATTTACATGTATGATGTATGCGAATTATTCTGCATTTTTATTCCGCCTTTCGTACGAGGATCGATATCGTATATACGTTATAAAGCGCGATAATTCGAATCTCAAATTGGTCCCTTCGATATTCGGTAAATTATAGTTCGAGATATTTTATACCATCGACGAGTGTAGTTGGCGAAAATATCGATAATCTGAAGGGAAAGTTCATCGTGGCAAGTATATGCGAACAGTATGGCGGGTTACGTAACTAATTTGCATTAGTTTGCTAGAACAGAAGATAGAGTTTATTAGAGAAAATTCGGTTTAATACGAGGATAATGAAAGCCATTCGGGTACATAAGGAAAACGTATTTTATAATACCTGGAAATATTGAAATTTCTCCAAGAATAGTTTCAATATGAAGATGTGCATAGCGTGATATAAACAAACGAGGAGCGTTATAATATCTACTATAGAAATAAAATTATCATAAAACAACCGTGGGAACACCTTGCAGAATTAATCGAGGTGGGAGCATTATTTTAGTCCTTTGAAACGAAATCGGAGTAGGTCACTCGCTATAACGATACGTTAACATACTTTGGTAAAATAATCCCTCAGCCGTGATTCGGCCCGTGCAGATTTCACCCGATACAGATGGAATATGTGGGTGACAGGATCTTTTTTATCATTCACACTTACTACAACATCACATCTCATTTGCAATGAAACAACAACCATTAACGCCATCCGTAACTTTACACCTGTGACAACAGAGAAATAACTTCTATAGCTAAAGCACAATAGAAAATTTAAACAAATTTTTAAAAATAAACCAATGCAAAGTCAAAGCAATACTACATTCTAAACTACTCTCTCAAAGCAATCTCAAGATTCGCAAACAAAAAGGCCTCGAAAAAGGTCCAAAAATTTGAAATTACAGTAAAATCCAGGATGGGGGACTGAAGGTAGATAGAGATGGAATAAATCGAATTACACAACACGTATCATCTCTGACAAGACAATGGTCGCTTTTATTAAAGAACTGTACAGGGTACAAAAAACGAGTTGTGACGATTCCTCTGGATTACAACGATGCACCAAAAAAAAAAAGAAAAAAAAAGAATACATATATGAAGAAGAGAAAAAATCAGTGAAAGCTTAAAACAGAGTTCTCGATTTTTGTTTTCACGAACGAAACCAAATGGCTGGTATCGCGTGGTTTAGTCGTGGTTCTCGATACTGAACCCTTTTTCAGTTAACCACGAGGACTCGATGACAGACAAACCGCGGAGATAACATCTTCCGGTGGCTACAACCTCCGTGAACAATATTAACGGTGGCTTGCTGCCGTGTAACGCCGAGGAAGGATGTATAGCAACCGGCTGCTTCGAGCTCACCTACACAAACGAACAATCCAATTACTCCTAAATTCTCGTTACCCAGTCGCCGGCAGAGAAAACTTACTTAAACCGCGCCCTATACACCAAAGAAACTTGTTTAAGCTTCAAATTCCCAACATGACAACAAAATAACGCTAGCCCCACCCTCCAACCCTTCTTACAAAAAGTTCCTCCTTACTTCTGCCGCGCAATAAACTTCTTCGTCTCGCTACCGTGTCGTTTCTCTTTCTAAGAAGTCAAAGAAGCTCGTTCGACGCCTAATGGTGGACGATTAAGGGGTGTATTCGTTTATTTTCCACGCTTAAGTAGAGTTTCAGATAAGACAGACCAACTGGTTATTTCGTGGATCCTGCATTTACTTACAACGTGTAATTTTGCCACGACGAATTTTTGCGAATTTTTGGAAAGTGATCGCGATGGTAATTGAATTATCGATATCGATTGGGTTATGTTTGAAATACAGTCTTTTTATAGTAAGCGCAGGGGTGAGGTAATTAGATGGTCTGTTTTACATGGAACACATTGTAGATATAAATATCGTTAAGTACTATCTTTAACTATAATAACTAATAATTAAAATAACTATCGTTAACTATAACTATAATTAAGAAAAATTTTGTCTGATGTATAATTAGTGATCAGCGATCATGGTAAGGAGGCCACAAAAATACAGGTAAATTTGAATAATTTTTATTCGGAATAATCGTTGCATGTTATGGCTATTTTAATAATAATAATTTAATAATAAAATTCTGTTTATGAAAATTTGTCAAGTCTGATTTCGCTCATGTTGGTCGGCTTTAACTCGTTGACCTGTATTGGAACAATTAGACCATTAATTCTCCTGATCTAAATTTATTTCAATATATTATTGACTGAATGGTTTAATTGTGCGTTATTATTGGCTCTTATTGACTACTTTTAAATACGTCCAATTTAGCAAATAAGATAATTTCACTTACATTCAACTTGCATAAATTTAACAATTATCTGCTGGATAATAATGCGAGTAATTTGATAACTTGGAGTATCATTTTCTATAATAATCTGCAACGTGAATTGATCGTTGGGCAACTCGTTACCCAATTACAAAGAATCATGTAATATAGTTGTACCCTATTAACTAGAAAACCAGGTCAACTAGTCATAGCAGTCGTTTAATTTTCCTACATCTCTGTCCTTCAAAATTTGCTTGTTGAAACTCTACAATTTCCCAAATTTCATCAATTTTACCCCAAAAGCGTCGATTCGTAGCCAAACGACAGACACGTATTCCAGCAGCCTTACAAACCCCCCAAATCCCAATCCCAGCCCACCCGAAAAAGAAAAGAGCTTACGCGACCTAAAGTCTACAAAAACCCTCTCTATAGGTTAAAAAATCGAATCTCCGTCCTTTCCACGATTACTCGAATGACCTTGAAAATAGCCATTACTTCCACAATTTCATCTTAACAATTTACAATCGCAATTACGAGCATTAGACATTGTAAACTATATTAATCCTTTGCACTCGGCGATCTTTTCGTTACAGAAACATAGTCATTCGAAGACTTTCTGCCATAAAGTCGACAATATTTTCAAAAGGGTAAATAAGAAGTGCAAATTAATTTTAAGGCGTAGAATTATTTTACCTCAATATTCTACGCGTCGTTGGACAATTTTAAATTCGAGATATTAATTAACAATGATCTTTAGAATCTGATTAACGCGTTAAGTGCCCAAAGGCCCCCAGGGACAGGCCCAGACTAGGACCAAAAGATACTAACTTTTGGTGTTAAATTCTGCGCCATCTTTGGACCTAACGTTTGGGAATTCCTGTTATAACAATTCGTACAGTATCTCTGAGTTTTACGAACACTTCGCCTGCCGCTGCTGACCCACTTGACAGCCAAGTCTGGGCCCGAACGGACCGGCAAGCAAAACGGGCTGAGCATTTAACGCGTTACATGGCGCCTGAGAGTCGTCTCTCGAGTGCAAAGGTTTAATCATTCTTCTTTATTCCTATACGAGGCCAATCGTGTACCTTCGACGATAAAACCGGAAAGAAGTATAAAAACCAGTGTCGTTCGAATAATCAGGAACGGTACTATAGCCGCGTGACCCACTTGTGTAAATTCGATCGGCCAAAAGTTCGGCAAACGGACCTTCTCCTCGGTGCGATCTCAATGTCTTGGGTGCTGCGAAGAGGGAAAAACTAGAGGTGAAAAGAAGGAAGAATAGAATGTACTCACGGTGACGTAAGTCTGATCCCTCTGCAATTCAGCGAGATTATCGTAGAGGCCCTCGAGGAGCGCTTTCCGTAGTTGCTCGGTATTCGTTCCGCAGCTGGCCTTCTCCAAATTCGCACGTTCCGCCAATGCGGCGAGCTGCTGTCGCACCTCCGTCGCGTATTCCAGATTCCTGTGATGCAGAAAGTTTTCGTGACACCAGACCTTCTTCTGCTTCGTGTTGGTATACGCGCGAAAAACGTTCAGCAACGTGACGTGGTCTCCCTCGGGTGAGGCGAATCTGGAACGAACGAAACAGGCGTAACAAGCTGCGAGTATCGATCACATCGTGGACGGATCTGTTTGACGTTTAAGGGAATACGCGGTGTCTGCTCTAGATTCGGCGACATTTTTTTTCCCTTCCTTTACAAATATTTGGCTGGCGGGAGGGTGGAAAACATCGATTTTTCCAGGCAGTTTTAGTACGGTGTGGATTCTTAAAATCGTCTACTCGGGTTTAACTGTGAAAAGCCAATGCATTGGATTGGATGGATTACAGTAGTTTCAGTTGAGTTACTTAATTTTGAAATATTTATCTATGGTAACAGAGTTTTAAAGATAAATATTCTAGAATTAGGTAAATTAACACGTTGACTGCCACGCAACTTTTCACGATTCCGATCTAAGACGCCAATTTGATTGAATCATGTTACATTATTAAAAACTTTATTTATAGTACATAGTAATAATCAAAAGCTTAAAAAATATTTTTTTTTTTTTAAACCTGATGTTTTCTTCTCTTTCCTGATGCCATCTATTCATATTTACACTGTTATATTACGGATTTCTTCGTAGCTGTGCAAATATGGCAAGTATGAAGAACGAGATAACTCGTAGTAGGTGTCCTGGGCAAGTAAACAACCTACGAGATATCTCGTAGTTGGCAGTCAACGTGTTAACTGGTAGATGGAATTATAGTGGCCATGTGTGATCAAACGAAAGTGTTCCAAGTCTATTATAAATGTTGTAGTAAAAACTAAATACTAAAATAAACTACATCCTAGCGATGTGGAGGCGATCCCTTCATCTGCGTTTTGTTTTTTGTCTCCTGTTGTCTTGAGATGTCTTTGGACCTGCGTGGCCATAAACAGAGGCCAGTTTTAATCATTCGCCCGTTTAACACGTTAAACACCACGCTAATTTTACGTGTCGTTCCGTTCGCGCCACAGTTAGCCGTCATGTGGGCCCTTCCGGGCCGTACGGACCGGCGAGGCCTGAACGGAAAGTCTAGCGCCAGTCCCTAGGAACAGGCGTGGCGTTTAACGTGTTAATAAACATCTATACAGTTTTTCCACCATTTCCACTGGCTACTATTTCTTTACATTATGACCGCTTAACAGTAAGTATAGAAATATGAATATTCTCCTGAGTAATTAGCTAATTAGAAATTAATTATAGATAGATAATTGTCAATATAATATAGCTATATTCACATCCCTTCGATTATTTCTCATTCAACGCATAAATCTTTGGTTGGAGGAAAATTTTCACGATGAAACATGTATGAAATGTAAGAAGATTATCCAGGACCCAGCAGAAGAAGTATCGTGATGCAGTATTCAACTAAAACAGAAGCTTCTTGCGGAAAATCGATGAACCTGATACCTTGATCTGGCGATGTAAGCCTGCTGTCTTTTCGCAGGTGGGTCGGTGAAAACAGACTCTCCTGACAATAGAGCGACAACCATGAGGGCTTCTTCGAGGCACTGATACTCCACTGATGCCAGAATCACCTTGGTAAACCGTGGATCCAACGGGAACAGGGACATCGTTCTTCCGAGGGTAGTCAGCTGCGGTGGAGAACCTATTCGAGTGAAAATCAAACGAATAAGTTTTAACCGGTATGTTAATATAGCACGACAATGCCTCGATGGGCTGACAAAGGAAAAACAGTGCTGTTCGATTCATTTTATATATATACACATTAACAAAACTATATGGAATATCAGTATCACAGACACTATCAAAATTGTGATACTGTGAGCTGGGAAGGACTCTAGCAAAGGAAACAGTATTAAGAGCGGTATCAGGTCCGGCTTAGGCGTTTAGGGTAACATCTGAAGTGCGTGTGGACGGACGGATGACCACGTGTAAGAATTGTATGGTTGAGATATTAATGACCAGGACGAGTGCAAGCAATGAACGAAAGTCTAGGAATGTGTCCGAGTGTCTGAAGTACATGGTCCACTAAGGGCGAGGTTTAGCCGGAAATGAGTGATCATCGAAGAGAGCTTGCGTATGAAAAGATTGAGTATTAGACTTTAAATAAGGGTGCAAGGCTGCGGGCGAGGCAGAATGCGTGTAGCCGAGACGTAGTGAGTAGAGAATCGTGTGTTTGAGAGGTTAGAGTTGAGAGAAACCTAGTATAATATTTTAGTCTAAATAAATCTGTTTTGTTATTAAAATGGTGTCGTTGTTTATTAAATCTCTTTATTAGATCTCTGTCAGCATAGGATTAATCTAGCATTAATCCTACAAAATCATGAAATAATATGGTAATCATATATTCTCCCCTTTTACTAAATAAATAGGAAAATAGGAAAATAGGAAAATAAATAGGAGTTAACTATTAAAGATTATAGCATTGTGACAATGTTCAGAATTTTTCCATCGTAGCTACGAAATATTCTTTGATGCGCACACGATCTTTTACCTCTCCCATGAGCAATGTCTCCTTCGAGAATGAAACGTAAAAGGTAAAAAAGGGAAAAATGTATATATAAAATTATGATATCCATCGACGAATTATACGCCTCCAGACAACATAAACGTTGCAAAATAAAATTGCAACGATTTTCGCTTTAGATACAGGCTATACAGCCACGATAACAACCAACATGCGAGATATGAAATATTGCTGTTCTAGAAAGAAATAAAGCGAGAGGGAACGTATTGTTTTTACAGGCCGAGATATATTTTCTTCGTGACCCGATGTCGCTTATTTGAATTTCAGAAGCTTCCTTTTCGAAAGTTCGCGATGGGACAAAGTTCCATTTTGTTTTACTAATAATTTCACGTCCACGGTGATGCCGACCGCAATGTTATTTCGTATGATTTTATTGATTCGACGTAAAGTAAATTCTTCGACAGAATTGCGGAATGTAATTTCTCAACGAAGTGGAGAATCGAGCAGAAACTGCAGGAGAATATAGAAAGGATCAATGAAATATTCAGGTAAAATTCTACGCTTCGGTTGTTGGCAAAATTGTGCAAAATTCAAACTCACGTGCACAATTTAATCCGCAAATTCTACGACTGCCGATAAAATTTTATGCGAAAAGTTAAGACGAGTGACTCGTATACACGAGGGAACATATGTATCGCAATTTTTATTTCTCAGAAACGACGTATCCCGTGCAAAAATATTAAAGGTATTGTACATTTTAAGTCAATGACGAAATATTCCATGAACAAAGCGAGATTCACAGGAATTAATCATTTTTGCAGATTCTAAAATGCAAGAAATCGCAAAATCGATGAAAAATGGTCTTATTTTTAATGCAAATTTTAATTGTAACTTTTAATTAGATCTTAGGCATTTATTCTGAAATAATACAAAAATTAATATCTACTAAAATGTAATGGAAATTATTATAAGTATTTAATAACAGACTTTAATCTTGAGTAATTTGAAACAAGATATTTTAATTATTTTAAAAATTATATTAATTAAAATATTAATATCATCAAGAATTTATTATTTATTATTCCTGTAATAATATTTTTTGTAATATATTACAGAATATTAGTGATATAATAGATAAAAGTGATGAAAATAGCCTAAGTTTATATACTAAAATTAAAGCTCGTTTAATTTCTGGAAATTCTATTACCCCCTGTGTAACATTCAAATAATACTCCTTAAACGTAATTATACATGACAGCCGCTTCTAGAAGTAAAATTCAAATAGAGAGAATTGTCGATTTCAATCGTTCAAGCGAAGAGGCGAGGTGATCGAACAAACATAAGATTCGAGCTGAAATCCCACTGCAACGAACCAATCTATCAATCTTCTTTCCATCTGCAGTTTTTAGGAATAAGATTGACTTCCCTTTTTTCTGCGTTTGCTCTCAAAATTAACTTTCGGGCGTGACCCGTGTTAATTAAACTCGCATAATCCGGAAAAGATATCTTTCAATGGTTCGGATGATTCAATTAGTACGGCAACCTGATCCTGCAAACAAGAAACTCAAACTGAAATCTTGGTCCAGAAGCTTAATTGACCGATCCAGTTACTCTTCGCAAATTCTGGGAACAGTATCCTGCAACTTCGCGTTTAATTTTCGAATATTGAACTTTGCGTGTAACGTAGTATGTCTCCATTAATCGAGATAAATAAACTGTGAACGGGTATTGCTTCTGTAGTACCAGCGATACGATCTGATTCACGAGTTGGTCTCGTAATTTGGATCTAGCCCGTAACAACTCTTACTGCAAATTAATAATTAATTTCGTGGATTTTCGTGTAACAAGTCTCTGATATTTTAGCCACAAACCTCAGAGTGTAACCAAAGCCAACCCAAGCGAGTTAACTGATATAAATAGAATGATTCGTTTGAAACAACTCTGCAGTATTGAATCTGTTAACTCTGTAGCGACCATCATTCTCATCCTTGCCAGTAGATGAATTCCAACTTCGAGGAGGTTCGAGGACTTGCGGAAAGACCTCCGCTTCCTACATATATAACTTCCCGACCTCGCAAGAGTATCCCGGTCTAAGGCAGGGTCTGCTAGGATAGCCTTACTGATGAGTCCACTAGCTAGGCCCCGGATGAAACGCATCCCTTCCTTTTCCTACTGTTCCTTCTAGCACTACCGTCACACGAGGATCCGGCGACCCATCCAACTTCAGTAACTGTGGGGCCAGGACCCCCTGAAACTCTTTGGGGCACACTGGAATTAACCCTTTGCGGACAAATGCCACATATATACATTCTGTGGAAGCCATCAGTTTGGCTGAGGAACGCATAAATGTGTCCCACATAAACGCGTCAATATGGCCCAGAAACACAAATATGCGCCTGCTATCGCGGTCCTAGGACCCTCACGTCCCAAGTTAAGTGGTGGACTGTTTTATGTCCCTATTGCTAACGTCGGCACCACGGTACGATTTACCCAAAACCGCTTCGTCCGTAAAGGATTAATCCTTTTGATGCACCGTAATGCATGGTGGGACATTTTTATCCCACCTGAAGATACTGCAATAGCTACATGCACATAGGTTTATATTCCGTCTTATTTAGGTAAAGCAGTTGACAATACCTTCGACAAATGTTATAAATATATTCGCTTGTGTTGGCAACATTCAACATACCAGTACAGGTTCATCAATTGTCGCAAGCGGAAGGTTTATTGCGACAATCTTTTTTTCCTGGTTTTATGTGAAAAATCGTAAAAGTAAGTTAATCTTTATAAAAATTAGTCCTATACCAATTTTGTTTCATTTAAAACGCAATAAAATTTCCATGCAACATGAGTCTATTTCATTATCTGAAATCCCGTGCCGCAAAGAGTTAAACTGTAATGCCTGTGATCACTAAGCCCACTTTGAGCCTTTTATATTTAATACGGAGCTAAAGTGAGGACAGATTATATCCCAGAAGGGTAATTCCTATTTAATTGTAATTTATTAAAAATTATCTCCCATCAGAATGGTCGCTAAAAATTTATCAAATCCGTTCTCTCGAGCTCAGCACTTCTGAGATATCCTATACTCGTTCATTCGTACACGTACACAGCCACCACCGGTAAAAATACATAATAACAAAAACAAGAGAGTAGAAGAATAGAAGAAACAGTCGATAAAAGTATCTCTCCTCCACAACCCCTAGAACTCACCCCAAAACCACAACCGGAAACCGATCCTCGAGCAAGCAAGACGCACACACCCACAGAGCTACAGTTATCCACGATCTCGTCCATTCGTCAAACAATCTCACTCACCCTTAACGGCGCCCAACTTTTCCAGGCAGGTCACCGCGACGTCGACAGCCTCCTTCGGCGGTTTATCCATAAAATCAAAGGTGGTGATATCAACCCCGATGGCGAGCAGCTGGAGGGCTACTCCCGCGAGGGAACACCTTTGTATCTCTGGCACAGGCATCTCCTTCATCCTCTCGAATTCCTCCTTGGTGTAGGTTCTGTAACATTTGCCGGCCGCTTCTCGGCCAGCCCTGCCGGTCCTCTGCCAGGCCTGTGCCTTTGAGACTTTTTCCACCCTGAGCACATCCAATCCGGTGGTCGGGTGATGAGTTCTCGCTTTGACCACTCCGGTGTCGATCACGTGTCGAATTCCTGTGTAATTTCATCGGGAAATCACTGTGTGCACCAGAAACGCCGCCGGTCCCTCTCGCGAATGTAATCACGAGAGCGCGGCGAGTAATCAAGTCTGTCACGAACGAGTGTACCGGCGTTCGGCTCGTGATATTAGCAGATTGCGCCGCACGCGGAAAATGAAATTGGTCCCTCTGATGAACAATTTGCCGAATTAACCGGTTATAGGAAGATCCCGCTCGTCCTGGACGAAAGAGAATTTTTCTTTCCTCTTTTTCCCTCTATTCTTTCTTTTGCTTTTTCTGTTTGTTTGTTGGTTGGTTTTGAAAGGCCGGTCCTATTT